CTCAGGCATAAGGGGACACTTAAAGAGTATGTGAGCCGATTTAGAAGACTCATGCTCAAAGTCCCAAGTTTGGCTGAAGAAGAGGGATTCTTCACCTTCATGTTCGGATTGAAGCCGTGGGCAAAGAGGGCGTTGGAGCGAAGGGAAGTCAGGGAGCTATCTGAAGCCTTGACAACTGCAGAGTCCATCAAAGAGTTTGGAGTCAAGAAGAACAAGACTTCCAAACCAAAGCCGAGAGCCGAGGGTAGCGGCAAGATATCCCACAATGAAGGTAAGTCGAAGGATGGGGAATGTTGTTCCTCGAGTGGAAGAATAAGTCCACTCAATAATGAACCAGACGGTGGATCTGGTGATGATGTGTGCACTAGTTCAAGTGACACAGATGCTAAGCCGAGGGTAAGAGTCGAGCAAGCGAAGGGGCGTAAACTTGAGGTGCCAACAGTGTTGTAAGATTACCCGAGGGGAGTCGAGTCATCCAAGGTAACGGATGAGCCCAGGATCGTGTTGTCCAAAGAAGAGGACGAACCAAGGATCGAAGGGGCGTTACGACTTGGCTCAATACGGTTCATTTCTGCCAAAGCAAGTAGAGGCCAAGGGCAGACCGAGTTGACCATGTCCAAGGAGTCGAGACAAGGGCTTACCGAGGATGTTCAAGAGAGGAACAATCCTTCAAAGACTCATAGACAAGAGTCGAAGGGAGCCAAGACGTTGAGGGACAAGACAACCGTGGAGACACCACCCATTTCAAAGGTGGGAAGCGAGCTCCAACCTTCGTGTTAGAAGGGAGAAAGCAAGGGGGGCATCAGACTTTGCCGTGAGAAAGTGTCGATACAGGATGGCTCAAAGAACTCCAACGATAAGGGTTCAATGCGGGGAGTGTCAGACTTCATGGAGCAAGAAGGGCTGACGCAAAATTTTGAGTAAATGCCAACTAATCAGAGGGGAAGGTACATCTCAACACTATTCTTGTGTTCTTGTGAGCTTGATTTGCAATTTTAAGTGAGTGTAGGTCGGGCAAGACCTAACTCTTAACGCGGATGGAACAAAGTTTGGATGAGATCCAAGACTTTGCCGCAAGGGACAAGGAGGTCCAAGCCGAGGCAAATCAAGACTTGTAGGAAGAAGTTCCTACGGAAGAGATGCACTTGTGGGCATATTAGCCCATTTCATCACTTGGCGGCAAGAGCCGAAGCGAGCACAGCCATTATGGGAAGTTGAGTCCTTATGAGGGGACGTGAGCAAGTGGAGGTGTCGAAAAGCAACCAAGATTGATGTGAAGTATGGCGCGAGGGATCGTGAAGTTACATGCGGTAGAAGCCAAGGCAAGCAGTTCGTATGGGAGGACCGCAACAAGCCAAGGCAAGGAAAAGTATCCAAAGTGGTGTTGCCCAGGATCGTTGAGTGCAGCGACGAGGGCGTCGCTAAGTTCAGTGGGGAAGAGTGTCACGGGCTAGGAACTTGGGTCCGAGACACTGGTGTAAGTGTCCGACAGAGAGGTTCAAGACAGAGGATCGGGCTTGCCAAGATATTGGTGCAAGAGTCCGAAAGGGAATCTCAAGATTGTTATCGGGCTTGCCAAATCCACCAGACTTGGCCCATCGCTTGGAGAATGCTATGGAGCCCGTTCACATTGGTCGTGCAGAAAAGGAAAGTGGCATCATATCTGAAGATGATCACAGAAGCTCGGTAAATATGGCAAGAGGCAACAAAATCAGGAAGATATTGTGGGAAAATCTTACCATATCCAGTGTGAACACCTATCCAAGGAAAGAATCCTACTAATGGATGTAATTAGGAAGGATTTGGTTGTAATTCCTTGATTTAGGGGATTTGTCATTAATTGGGAAAATCTTAGCCGTTGATGTAAAATGATCTAGGCCATTGATTGAGAGGGAGCTCAACTATAAATAGAGAGCTCTCCTCCTCATTTGTAATGACCCAATTCCATTCTTCTCTTTGTGAGAGAGTAATAAAGCTCTGAGGCATTTGCTCTATTCTTTCTGAGTTCTTAGTTTCTTTGTTCTTGTTGCCTATCTCGGTGGCCAGGAGTAGCCACCTTCGTGTTAGCACTTCCACACGATAGTCTGACCTTGTGGCTCCGAGTAGCCACGTTGGTGTTTAAAGCTTCCGCAATCCGAAGCCTTGAGGGCTTGGTTCCAACCTTTGTGAGTTAGCACACTCACTTAGCTTGGGTAAGGCTTACTTAGTCGCCGAGAAGACCGAGGAGCGTCTAAAGCGTCTAAGGCCGTACGACCCGTCAGACCTTGACTCTGATATTCCGACGGTGTGAGGCGTCGAAGTTCTGGGGGCGTGACATTAATCTAATGATGTCAAATCGTCGGTCAACTAATCTCCTCATTTTTAATCCACATATAATCCAGTGGACTGGATATGCCATGTTTTATATTTTGTTTAATTATTGTGCAAAGTCATCCAGTTGTTAATGGTTTAACGGCTGTTAAAGTCTCAGTGACTACATGTTTATGGATCGACAAGTTAAGGACCTTATTATTTAAAAATAAATAAAAGTGACCATGTATTGAAGTTTCTGGATCGAGTGACCATAGGTTTAAAAAAGAGAAACAAAAATGACCGACTCTGTAATTTACCCTACTTTTTTTGTGTATTATGCTGTGTTGTGTGTTATTTCTCCCCGAGTCTCCACAGCACCTTCTTCACTCAGCATGGGCCCCTTAGTCTCCCCTTTGCATGCCTTATCATTCTCTTCGAGATAAGTGTTTCGTCAACAAATATGCTTCCTTGAGAATTAATATAATTTATATTTTACTTGGTAATTGCTTTCTTAAAAATATTAATATTTTTATATTTTAGATTTTTTTTATATTTTTAATTAAAATATTTTTTTATTCTACAACTTTATAAGTTATCATACCTTAAAATTTTTATAAATACGTTTCTTTAACATAAAAATTTTATATCCGTCGTTAAAAGGCACTACGACGACAACATATCTTGCTTATGTAAGATAAATGTCATTTAACCCCCAAAAAAAACACTCTTGCTTTTTTCGCTTTTATAGATATTATATTTATATATATTTGGGATTATTGTTAATAAACATTAAATAAAATTTTAAGATTTTAGAAAATTTGGTGATCAAAATGATCTGCATGGAATAAATTAAGAACTAATGGTGTACTTTTTCCAAAAATAAATAAAGCAATAACTTCTGAGGAAAGCACTTCGTATTTCTTTTTCCTTTGGGATTGTCTCAGAAAATGCAGACTAATATACGGCATTACTGAATACATTAAAAGATATTTGACAAATTCGGTTTAGCGCTACCGGAAATATCGAGTAATAATAATGTAATAGGTGGAAATCGTGAAGAAATATTAAAAAATTTGGCAACCTGTAAACTTAACTTCGGTTTGTGTCGATAATTTATAAAATGTATTGATCCATAACAATATAACAGGTAAAAAATGACAAAACCGGTCTATAAATGACAAAACAGGTAAAACGCTACTAGATATATTGAAAGTGTCGATACTTTATAAAAATGTATCGATCCATAACAATATAACAGGTAAAAAAATGACAAAACCGGTCTATAAATGACAAAACAGGTAAAGTGCTACCGGATATATTGAAAGTGTCAATACTTTATAAAAATGTAATCCATAACAATATAAGGTAAAAAAATGACAAAAGCGGTCTATAAATGGACAAAACAAGTAAAGCGCTACCGGATATATTGAAAGTGTCGATACTTTATAAAAATGTATCGATCCATAACAATATAACATGTAAAAAAATGACAAAAACCGGTCTATAAATGACAAAACAGGTAAAGTGCTACCGGATATATTGAAAGTGTCGATACTTTATAAAAATGTATCAATCTATAACAATATAACAGGTAAAAAATGACAAAACCGGTTATAAATGATAAAACAGGTAAAGCGCTACGGATATGTTGATAGTGTCGATACTTTATTATAAGTATCGACACTTTTAGAATTTAAAAGAGAAGTTATAGCGCTAGTAAAATGTCAATATTTTATTATAAGTATCGACATTTTGGAATTTAAAAGAGAAGTTATAGCGCTAATAAAGTGTCGATACTTATAAAAAATATCGATCCTAATAATATAGCAGATAAAAATATGACAATATGAAAACCGTAAAGACTACCAGATATGTTGAAAGTGTCGATACTTTATTATAAGTATCGACACTTTTGGAATTTAAAAGAGAAGAAGTTATAGCGCCAATAAAGTGTCGATATAAAAATGTATCGATCTATAACAATATAACAGGTAAAAATATGATAAAATCGGTCTCGAAATAACAAAACCGGTAGTAAAAAAGTGTGCTTGTGTGGTCATTTTTATTTCAGAATTTTCATTTTTTAATACAAAAAGTTGGATATTTTAAACAAAACCCAGTAAGTAAAGAACAAAAACTTTGCAGTAACAAAAGAATAACATTGGAAACACATGTTATCAGTTTCTCAAAGACCAAAAACCCAGAAACAGATAAATTTACACTTTAACCGGTAAAAATATACTGGTTAATTAACAAATAGGTTTACATTATGTATCGACACTCTTTAATATGTGTCGATATTTTTTTCCCAAAATGAAAGTACAACGAGGTGTACGCATAAAGTGTCGATACATTTAAAATTGTATAGTCTCAAAACATCAAAACTGATAATTATAATGTAATAGGTAAATTTACAATGTTACTGGTTTAAATATACTGTTTAGTTAGAAAATAGATCAATATAAGCGTTACCTATTACTTATATAAGCGCTACCTAATATATTATTATATTTGATAATATTTTCGGTTAAATGATATAATATAATCGATCTAAATTTTAATTAATCACTTATTTAACAGATCACGCCGTAATCATCTGTTCTGTTTCAACCAGATACAAACCCCAAACCATCACTCTTTGATCTTCAAGAATCAAAATCCTTCTTTTTCTTTCCCTTATTTGGCGTGAACCAAATAATCAAAAGCTGTTGAATTATCTGGTAAATATCTCTCTTTTTTCCTTGCGAAACCTATTTGTTAGCTTTCTGAATTATAAAATTATGGGTACTTAAAGAAAGATTGAAGATTATTATTATTTTTTAGTTATTTATGGGTATACTGTCTTTTCCCCCGAAAATTTCATATTTTGCTGCTAAAAAAAGTTAGTTTTGTGTCTCACTAACGTATCTATCATGTTCCATCATGTTTGTGTCATTTTGACATAATCTATGTATCTTAGTAATATTTCTCTAATTGGATTTTGTTGGATTATTTGTGTTTTGGTGAAAACTGGACATTGTTTCCCACGTTGTCTAAGGTTTTATAAGTATATTAACATTGCTATGAAATTCCTTAGGAATGGTTGTTTCCTGTAGGTGTTGGAATTGAGCATCATACATGGCTTACATCCCTCCACACAAGCGACATTCGAAGGATTCGGATAGGTCGACTCCGACTCTAGAGTCGCTTGCTCCCAGATTTAATAGGAATGTACAGTTAAGGGCTTCAAAGTCTAATGCTGATAGGAGTGGAGAGTTTGTATATTCGAACTATGCAATCTCCAGATGGTTTGCTGTTGGTTTGGATGATGAAAACCATGACACTCTTGCTGCTCATCTGAAACCAGTTTCAGTTGAATTTATCGAGAGAAGAACGGGCGAGAAACCTCTAATCTTGGTGAAAAATAATTCAGATAAAGGTTGGTGGTACACCATTGCCTAAAATATGAGGAAAGCTATTTCTTATATTTTGGAAAAATGTTCTTAAACTACATCAATATTTTGTCCCCAATTTTTGTAGATGAATCAAAAGGGATCCCGTGGTTGTCTATTGCAAAAAATGTGCTGACTGTTATCTTCCTTTGAAAAGGTGAGGGCTGAAACAGAATGCGAAGTTTCAAAAGATGTAAAGCTGTCAATGGTGGCTAAGGTTGGCAAAATACTTTCCAAGGGTAAGCATTGATCACTTTGTTATTGCTTCAAGAGATATGTTGAGTTTTAATGGCTGCTAGTGTCATGTCTGCTAAAATAGTACATTATTGAGTGTTTTAAGTAGCCATTTGTCCCTGAAGGAGGTTAAAACAACGCTGTTTTAGTATTTTGTCTACTATAATATCTAAAACATGTTTATATATATATATATATGTGTGTGTGTGTTGCAGGAGCCGTTCTGTCAACCTGGAAAGTGTCGGTAAGATTGCATAGTGAGACGGTGTTGACGAATTTGAGAAATTTTTTTGCGCAAAGGTCCTTCTTCATACACGGAAAACATTATAGCTGAAGTTGCCTCAAATATTAGAGTTGATTTTGCAGATACGAAAGATATATACTACTTGAGGGTATATTTTTCCCACTTAATTTTAACTTTTTATTGCAATATGATTGATTATGTTAGCTATTGAATGATTTTAATCTGTTTATGTGTAGTTGTCTGATAGCAAACAGCAGCCTCACCATTTCGTGCAAATGTAGATTAAATGTGATAAAAAACTCCAGCTTTACAAGGCAAGTCTTCCACTACCATAGGCCAAGATATGCACCCAAATGTTGACTCTCCTTTTGTTAGGTAGGCTCATAAATATACCAGTAAAGAGGACAGGAGATGGAGCGGAGTGAGCGAAGCGACATCAACTGTCCTTACAAAGAAAGTCTCGTTGTGGGGTTACGAATTATGTGGGTGGGGGTGCGGGGCGTAGCCCCGCGGTACGGTACAGGGTTAATTTTGTAATTATGTACCAGGGTTTTCTATTATAAATAGATGTAACCTAGACCTAAATATCATTGAATAAAAACTTCTAGCGCCGCCTAGGCACGAGGACGTAAGCACATTGCCGAACCTCGTAAATTCTCGTGTTCTTTTGTTTTCTTTACCGTTTCGTCAACAATTGGTATCAGATGTTAGGAGCAAAATTCGAAGTCGCGAAATTCGATGGTCAGGGTAACTTCGGATTATGGCAAACGAGGGTGAAGGATCTATTGGCGCAGCAAGGGATCTTGAAGGCTTTGCGATCTACAAAAGCCGGCGTCGATGGATGAGGAAGATTGGGAAGAATTGCAGCAGCGAGCGGCAGGAACCATACGATTATGCTTGGCGGACGAGGTCATGTATCACGTCATGCATCTATCGTCTCCAGACGAAATTTGGAGGAAGTTGGAAAGTCAGTTATGTCCAATCCTTAACGACAAAACTGTATCTGAAGCAGCGGCTGTATGGGCTGAAGATGCAGGACGATCACGATTTGGCGCAACACGTGAATGTCTTCAATCAAATCGTTCTGATCTGGCTCGGCTTGATGTGAAAATTGAGGATGAAGACAGAGCGATGATTCTGTTGTGTTCGTTGCCTCCCTCTTACGAACATGGTGACTCTTACTATGGGAAAGAGACTATCAATGTTGAGGAGATTACTGCAGCCTTGTTGGCTCACAACCAGCGAAGCAGAATGCAGGGGAAAGCTCTCAAGCCGATAGCTTATATGTCAAGGGTAATCGAGATCGTGGACGGAAGCCAGAGAAGGCAGGGTCCGGAAGCGGAATTCCAGATCCAAATCCAGGGATAAGAAGACGATTCACTGTTACAAGTGCAAGGAGGCGGGACATATGAAGCGAGACTGTCCGAAGTTGAAAAACAGACTGATGAGAAGCGTGATGGTCATCCAAGTCTGTG